GAGGCCCGCCTCATTTCCTGGCTGGAGGACATCCAGCATCATCTAGCGCTTTCCTCCCCAGCCTGACTGCCCCTGACCCCCGGCCCTTTCATTCATTGGATTCCACTTCTTTCAGGCTCAGCATCACCCGTAGGTGTTACCCGTGGGTGGCCTGAATGCATGTTGCCTTGGAACGTCCACTCCTCCATACTGACACCCACCTATCAAGGTGATCGTGCATGATCCGCATGCATTGCATAAAGAAGCCCAGAGGCCCAGTGATGACATCACTTGGTCTAAAATAAAAGGTATGTAATGAAATGACGGAGTCAATGACAGCCAATCAATTAGCATTTTCATAGAGTGGTCAGCAATTGCAGCACATCACTCTCACAATGATAACAATAACATCGCACCTAGAACTGTGGAAGGTGCATCAGACTGAGAGCTTCTGCCAGGAGCAATTTAAAGCAGACCGATCATTAGATATATGTAATGCGTCAGTGTAACACTTCCAGGTATTCATTGCCTCTCATAGAGATCACAGTGCCCCCTCCCCCCCCGACAATGCTTTCATCTGCTTTTCATCCAGGGTCACTATATACTTCCCGGACTGAGATTACAACATGCCGTTCTTGTGTTCACAAATGCCTGACACAGATCATTCCCTCCTGCAGCCTCTCACTTTGTGACTTGCTACAATGTTACAACGTAGTCTGATCACTGGGGGAAACTGAGGAAATGCTTCCTCCTGCCTGCAGCAGACTGATCACTGGGGGAGGGGGGACTGAACAAATGCTTCCTCCTGCCTGCAGCAGACTGATCACTGGGGGGAGGGCGGATGATAGAATGTCATTTGTAGTCCTCTTGTCCTATACACTGTATAGAACGTGATGACTCACAGTACCTTAGACCGCCAGAGTGGAGGGGGAGAGGGACTGTGGGGACCGTTCTAGCAGCCAAGCCGGGTCTGTGTTTCCGATGAGTAAATCTTTGTTATTTTAGACCCTAGATAAAAAAAAATGAGCCCCACTGCAAGGGTAAAGTTCGATTCTGCCCGTAGTCCCTCTTTAATGATCTCTATACAACACACAGAATATGTGGGAGCCATTTAAAGATGATTAGCATCTGCCCGTTGGGAACATTAGATTGCAAGCTCCTTTGGGGCACAGACTGATGTGAAAAACAGAAGCAGCAGCACAGTGGCTCAGTAATTAGCACTTCAACCTTGCATCTCTGGGTTTCCTCCCCCACTCCAAAGACGTGCCGATAGGTTAAACTGACACTAAACTCCGGAAATTAAATCCTAAAAATACATTCAGGTCCCTGAACTCTGAACAACAATGTCTCTTATTTGTGTGTCACTCGGCTGTAGATCCTCCAATCATCTCTGACACTGTCCTTCCTTCTGGGGGGGGGCTACGTCTGTTCCCCATGGTCCCTGTGTGTGTTGTGAAGTAGTCACCGCTCCAAGCTCGCTCCCTTGATGGACTACAGTGTCACGTTTAGTTTACTGATTTGTATTGAGATTGTAGTCCATCCCGGGGGTGAGCTTGGAGCGGTGACTACTTTACAAGACACACAGGGACCATGAGGAACAGACGTAGCCCCCCTCCAGAAGGGAGGACAGTGTCAGAGATGATTGGAGGATGTACAGCCGAGTGATACACAAATAAGATACATTGAGGTGAATTTCTCAAAACTGGAGCAGACAAAATCTGGAGCAGCTGTGAATGACAACCAATCAGCACCTCTCTTTCATTCTCAAATCTTATCTGAACCAACTGAAGAGGGAAGCGGATTGGTTGCCGTGCACAGCTGCTCCAGATTTTGCCTGCTCCAGTTTTGAGAAATTCCCCCCATTGTTGTTCAGAGTTCAGGGACTTGAATGCATTTTTAAGATTCCACTGCTGCGTTTGGTGATTCTGCCCAGAGTTCTTCTTTAATGATCTCTACAACACACAGAATATGTCAGAGACATTTAAATATACATTAGCATCTGTACGTCGGGAGTAGTAGATTGCAAGCTCCTCTGGAGCAAAGACTGATGTGAAAAATAGAATTCTGTATGAAAGAAGAAGGAGAAGCAGCACAGTGGCTTATATTATCAGGTCTACCTTGCAGCACTTGGGTCCTTGGTTCGAATCCCAACCAGGACACTAGCTGCATGGAGTTTGCATGTGCTCCCTGTGCCTGAGTGTGTTTTCTCCTTCCACTCCAAAGACCATGCTTGTAGGTTAATTGGCCTTAAAGTGACATTAAACCCTCGGCTTTTTAACATAAAACAATACTGTAATGTGCGCCTTACTGTAATCCATGGTAGTTTCCCTTCTCTTTGATGCTCTTCCTTTTAAATCTGTATCTGTTCTCATGCTTGGAGAGAACTTCCCTTTTCAGCAGACTGCCTTGTCTCAAACGGTGTCTGCGTATACATTTCTATAGGCTGTAACCTGAGCCAGCACTACAGGAAGAGGCCCTGAGCTGAAAAGGGAAGTTCTCCCCAAGCATGAGAAGAGATACAGATGTAAAAGGAAGAGCATCAAAGAGAAGGGAAACAACCATGGATTACAGTAAGGCGCACATTACAGTATTGTTTTATGTTAAAAAATCTGAGGGTTTAATGTCACTTTAATATGTGTAAGAACGTATGTATTGAGATAGGGACCTTAGATTGTAAGCTCCTTATAGGCAGGGACTGATGTGTATGTAAAATTGTCGGTGCCATTTAAATGCCTGTAATCAAACAATGACATCAATATCCAGGAGCTGCACAGTAAATAAGGATAATAATACAGTATCTCCTAGATTCCGAGCTTCTTTGATGTAATGTTCCCTATAATATGTTAGAATTACATGAATATGAAAAAGGAAAGAAAAAAAATGACATCTCTATAGAACGTAGCAGCTGCCACCCTGCGATGTAGATGAGACCGGGGACGGTGGTGAGATGGTGCAATGAGGACACCAACAGCTAACCTAGATAACTGCCGAATTTCTGATCCTCCAGTCTGCTGGGGAGGACCCGGACTGGAAATCATCAGGAAGACACTCATCCGGTTATATTAAATGCTAACAAGGATCCTTGCAGGGCACAGGGAGCCGGCCATTGTCCTGTCACTCTGCCAGATAATTGGGTCTGGATCGTCAGGAACATTTTTATCAGCTTGTAATCTGTCACTCTGTACGTCGGGGTCTCTAATAGAAGGAAACAGCTCTTCAGTCTTTAGGACTGACTTGTAGCATCCATTGGGGAGCAGATGTCGGGGGCAGAGGAGGTGATCGCAGCGCCCCAGCTGTGCGAACTGATAATGTCTCCTCCTCATCAGCAGAGATCGCTCCGGTATTAATGAGCGACATAAACTGCTGACATTTAAAATCAGATCACAGTGAGGATTACTGGCAGCTGGGAAGCGAGGGCTCTTCTGTGCGGAATCTGATTGCAGACCGACCAAAAGGGCCACTTTTTAAATGCAAAGCTCAAAGTTTAAAAAGCCTCGTTGGAAATCACACTGGGCGCGATAGGGAATATTCGCCAAGTGCAATCTTAAAGTGAGCAAGTCAGAATTGATAACCCACCACCACCCCTTCCCATCCCGTGTGGTTGCTTATATGATTTACGCACCCTGCCTTGGCACATGTATTGCTGGGTATGAGGATGCCAACGCTGAGCCATTAGGTGCAGCTCACCTCTGAGGGAGCAAGCTTTGCATGGACATCTTCTACACATCAAACCGTTCTGTGAAATACCAAGACAGACAAGCACCCAGAGCCCACTTATGTACCATGCAAGTACCTTACAGCCTCAGCTAGGGGATTGAAAAGCTTAAATTGAGCCCCCTGAGAATTCATGTTCACATACTCTGTGTTGGCATACGAGTCCACTAGTAACCCATCAGGTACATGTCACCTTTATAGAAATCAAAGACATGACTACCTTCTGTTCAATGCTAAAAAGGCAAGAACTCAACACACATACTCGTGCACTGTACCAGCACCTTATACCATCAGCTACTAGCTAGTGATAATGCAAGATAGTAGGTGTAAGCCTTGTTTGCACATACCTCATGCTGGCATATGGTGCCACCAATACTCCTGTGGATTCAGATACATTCCACCTCTAAGGGCACCAAAGACTTAACTACAGTCTGTTCAATGCAAAAAGCCTTTTTGCAACCTCTCAACACACACACACACACACACACACACACACACACACACACACACACTCCTGTACCAGCACCTTATACAATCAGCTAGTGATAATGCAAGATACTAAATGTAAACCTTGTTTGCACAATGCACATAATACCCCACGCTGGCATATGATGCCACCAATACTCCTGTTGGTTCATTCAGATATTCCACCTCTAAGGATGGGAAAGACTTGACTACCTTCTGTTCAATGCTCAATGCCAAAGCAATCAGCACCCACCCCCACGTACCATACAGCATCTGACACCCTCAACTAGTATGTAACGGAGTCAATTGAGTAACTGTGCTGTTACGTACATTGTGCTGGTATATGATACCACTAGTACCCCAGTGAGCTCCTTTAACCAGATAAATACAACTCTACGGACACCAAAGACTTGACTATCTTATGTTCAGTGCTGGCTGACCACGGTGAGCACCCAGCACCAAATAGGCACCTATATCCTGTAAGCCCCCCAATCGCCTTGTACCAGCTCTACCTTGCAAGAACGCACCTTGCCATGCACAGCACCAAACCTGCCTTGCTCAATGCATGTGCCCTATATCACGCTTGCAGTGAGCACAGAATGAAATGTCTTCACAGCTCCAAATGCAAAATTCAAGCACAAGGCTGGGCGATACACCGAAGCCCAGTCTATCTGCCATGCACCTGCCCCAGTAGTCACACTCTGTATTCCCCAAACCAAGCTGAGGATGAGCACAATGAGACCCAATGCCCATGTCAGCTTTATGTAGCATGCATGCACCTGCACCCAGTACCAACCCTCTACATACACCCAGCTGGGTGCCGCCTGTCCTGCTGTCCATACCTGCTTCAGCAGTGAGCACACAAGCCCAGAAAGCAAAAATCCCATCCATGGGTGTCATGTCCTGATGTCCCTGGACCGGAGCAGCAAATAATCCTCATGCAGTTTGTTGGAGAAAGCAAAGTTGTCGATCTCTCTGCGAGGCTGCTATGAGAATGATGCTGTCCTAAGATGCTGAGGCTGAGAGCTAGGAGCGAACCATTGCAGACACAGGGGGAGACTCCAAGCCAGCATCCAGTCTTATCCTCCCTACACCCCACATTGAGCCAGAGAACACCTCTCCAGAATTAAAACAGCATCTCCATCATTCCTTCACACCCCAGAGACAAGGATATCAGGGCTTTTTATTCTGCAAGTTCAGCTTTGCTTGGCAGAGCTCCCCTGATGGGAGTTTTAGTTCCATCTCACACCAGAAACTCAGCTGATGTATGGAGAGGGCTGTTAGATGCTGAGCAGGAGAGAGTGAGGTTACTAATTATCCTTCATAAACTATAGCAGGGGTGAGCAACCTTTTCCACGTTAAGTGTTACGTTCACAAACATTAGACAACCAGCTAGCCCGCAAACAATAGTGCGTTGTACACTTTGTTTTCATTCATATTTGTACTGCTAATGGTAAGTTATGCCCATTGATTATCCACAAAACATATTCTACCTCTGTGTATTTACTTCAGGTCTCAGATCAGCCTCAATGCATGCACATCAGACCCCAATGCATGCACTTCAATTCTCAGATCAGCCACAATGCATGCACATCAGACCTCAAATCGGCTCCAATGCATGCAATTCAGCCTTCCGATCAGCCACAATGCATGCACATCAGACCTCTGATTAGCCCCACTTTGTCGCTTAGATCAGTGCCATTGCATGCACTTCAAATCTCACCTCTATATACATGCACCTCACATCAGCCCCAATGCATGCACTTCTGCTCTCATATCAGCTACAATGCACGCACTTCTAGCTCAGATGAGTCCCAGTGCATGAACTTCAGATCAGCCCCAATGCATATACTTCAGACCTCAGCTCAGCCACAATGAATGCACTTCAGACCTCAGATCGGTCCGTTGCATGCACTTCAGATCCCAGATTGCCCCAACTGTATGCCCTTCAAACCTCAGATCTGCCCATATGCATGCCCTTCAGATCTCAGAACACTCCCAATGAATGCGCTTCTGAATGCAGATCAGTCCCAATGCATGCACTTCTACCTCAGATGAGTCCCAATGCATGCACTTCAAATCCCAGTTCAGCCATGATGCATAAACTTGAGACTTCCATTCAGACCTTGTACCATTAGGAGCACAGGGTACCACTGTAAGCGCGTAGATGTCAGGACGGTGGGTGGGCCCAGTGAGCTGTCAATGACAGCCAATGCAAGTGTCATCGCATGCCCACCTTGTTGCCAATGCTTGCACTCTAGAATCTGTTTTGGGGGGTTTGTGGCTGCAAAAATGGGAATGCGTCTGTATCCCTGGTGATTGCCCACTATCGTCAGGCAAATGTTGGCAAGACAAAAAAAATGCCGGTATCCTCAGCAGGAAAAAAAGCAATTGTACAAAAATGGATCTGTTTAAAATTTCCCTTCCGGAACTCTAATTTGCGCTGAGAACAGAGCGGACGGAGCTATGCCTCAAAAAGGCGCAAGAGCGCTATAAACGTTTTGCAGCAGAATTTTTTAATAACACATTCACCTTTTATTTGATGTGTTGTAATTATTATAATATTTTGGGGGGAGTTTGGTGAAATTAGACGTTGGCCACAAATCAATGGCATGCAGTTTGCGGAAGCACCGTGAATCACAATTGCCTTTTTTTGTTTTTGATAAAATAATACAATTTTATAAATGTTTTCTGCAGTAAAATACGTCTCTTTTTTATCACATTTAAATGTCAAAACTATTTACAATGGAGCCTTTCAAAGTAGCAATCCACAACCATGAACACGGCACACGTTTTTGTCTGTGTTTACCCCAAACACAATGGAAACTTTCAGCCTTGAACATTTCTCCTCCACTTTGCTTTACCAGATAATTAAACATAAAAATTGACACATTCGATTTGGATGACAAATCGAATTACAATGTTACAATGTTTTTAGTGTTGCTTTTTCCATCCATTTTGTAGCGTGTAGATGTAGGGCAACCTATATTCCAGGCGTCATTCCCCTCTAATCAGCATGAAGGCATCTGAAATGTTGCTGGCTTGAGTTAAAATCTACATTTGAGGTGCATCTGAATTGTACACCCCAAAATCAGGCCCCTTATAAGCTGCTGGGGTGACAAAGACCAGAGGTAGGTGGAGGGTGCTAATTAGTCCACCTGCCCCCAATCAGCTCACCTGGGCAAACCAATACAATAATCACCTTTGCATTTGGCTGTCCAGGTGAGCTCATCAGATGAGCAGGTCAGGTAATTAACTGAGCAGCTTGCTCTCCCCTCCCCCTACCTGGTAAGCCTAGGTTCAGGCTGCTGCATGATTATGCGTCATGCTTTTTCTTTTGGCCAATGAGCAGCAAGATCTGCCGTGACATCATCAGGGATTGTCTTCCTTTGAGACTTTAAGCACCAAAACGTGCCAAAAATGCATCAAAATTAGGTTTTGCCATTGAGGTCTATGGGGCCATAAATGCACTATGTAGCACCAGTGAAGCACCGGCACCTTTCCAAATATCGCACTGCACCATGTTGCATTGATTTGAACAGGCACCATTAAGGATAGTGTTATCACACTGTGCAGCATGATGGCCGACGCAGATCAAATCACAAAAGTTGGAACAGGGCCGTAGGGTTTGAATGGATGGGTGCTGTTGGTTTTTGTATTCAGCCCCCTTCACACTTCAGAATTTCCTAAAGCACAGCAACGCTCAACATGAAGAATCCCATTATTTTCAATGGTGCAAAGTCGCCGAGATCACTTGTATGCAGCCTGCAGGTCTGCCATTCTCCATGGGGGGGTGGCGGGTAAGGGGGCGCATTGAGGAACCTGGCCTCTGGGGGCAGCAGAGAGAGTAAATCCCCGCCCCTCTCTGATCCACCAGCGCTGACTAGAGGAACAATTGGGGAAGTGGCGGGCACAGCTGGCTCTGCTTCTAGATAGGCAGAGCCCGCTGTCAATCAGCAAGCTTGGTGGATCTCCACAGTATTGTCCGGATCCTTCCCGGCTGGGGCGCTCTCCGTACCTATAGTGTATACTATAGGTACAGAATTAGACCTTCATATTATATCTGACCTCCGTCCTCCCCTTCATCTTATATCTGACCTCCGTCCTCCCCTTCAGTCTTCTATCTGACCTCCGTCCTCCCCTTCACTCTTCTATCTGACCTCCGTCCTTCCCTTCAGTCTTATATCTGACCTCCGTCCTCCCCTTCAGTCTTGTATCTGACCTCCATCCTTCCCTTCAGTCTTGTATCTGACCTCCATCCTTCCCTTCAGCCTTCTATCTGACCTCTGTCCTCACCTTCAGTCTTCTATCTGACCTCGGTCCTTCCCTTCAGTCTTCTATCTGACCTCGGTCCTCCCCTTCAGTTTTCTATCTGACCTCCGGCCTTCCCTTCAGTCAGTCTTATATCTGACCTCCGTCCTCCCCTTCAGTCTTCTATCTGACCTCGGTCCTCCCCTTCAGTCTTGCACAGTTGTACCGGCTCCTCTCCTCTTCCTCTGATGTCACTGCACACTGGGAGCTTCTCACAATGTGCATTAGAAGCTGCAGCAAGTCAGATGGGGTCATTGGGAGTTGTGCTGTGTGTCTGCCCGCACTCTACAAGTGCTTCCTAAGGACTGACACACCACCATTTATGTTGGCCCCAGGCTTCTACTAGTCATACACATGTGGAAGAATTTAAAAAAGAAGAAGTCCCAGACCCTTGTGTGACCACTCTGTCCGTGCACCACAATGGGAGAAAAATATGCATTATCCTTTTCTAACAATGCAGCACGTCACAGCTCGCAGTACATGCGTTGTGATGCGCTGCAGTGCATTGTGCTCTACTGTACGATGCGTTGGGGTGCCATTCACAATAAAAGGCATCAACAATCAATGGCACTGATACGCGCCACACAGAGCATTGTGGAAACACGCGTGTTATCTCGCATTGGCACAAAGCAGCAGCATGAATGGGCTCCCAGAAGACTAATTTTTGTGAAATCGCTGATATGCGGTCAGGAGCACCGGTGTGATGCGGTCCGGAGCAGACGGCCCGACTTTACTTTACTTACACATGACAGACAAAGTGATTTTACTTTCATATGTCTGATGATGAATTCCCATCTTGCTCTGAGGCTCAGACACATCCTGCCAGAAAAAGGGGGTTAAATAATTCAGCTTTGTTGTGATACAGTTTTAACTCCGGCTCTCCCGCTGAGGATGGCGTGGGATTGCTTGTCAGAGCGGGCCCCCTAGTGGGGAGACGGCGGTAGGGCGGGAGCTGCAAGACATGCAGCAGAAAAATGCACAGAAATGGGTTTGTCACATACTGGCCATGGACGGGCCGCGTCGTTTGTGAACGTTATTCTCTATCTCCTGAGAAGCCAAAAAGAATCATCCTTCTTATTTCTGTATTTAAACATCTTCTCCATTCTCAGTATTCCATCAATAATGCAGATCTCCCCCTCCTGCGTTTTACTGCAAATGATCTTTGAGGGGATTTGAGGTTCTGGGAAAAAGTAAAAACTCTATTTGTTGTTTTCCCTTAAAGGAGAATGATGAGGGGAGTGCTTTTCACTCCTCCTCATAGTTCTAGCCGACCTGTGACAATGAGACTGTCACAGGTCGGCTCAGTAGATCGGGAGGTGAGAGAACACATACCGGCGTTCGCTCACCTCTCGATCCTGTCACGGCTCTCTGCCGTGACAGGGGAGGGGCTGGATTCCCCCCTCCCCGCTCCGATCCTCCAGCGCTGACTGGCGGAACGGACGGGGGAGGAGGCGGGTACAGCTGGCTCTGCCTCTAGATAGGCCGAGCTAGCTGTCACTCACGCAGCTGGGCGGATCTCGACATCGATGTCGGGATCCGCTCCGGCATCTAAGTATACCGCGAGCTGTAGCTCCCTATATACTGAGCTTAGGGTGACGGGAGGACGCTAGTTTGTGTCCTCCCGTTACCCCAAGGAGAACTATGGGGAAAAGCCCTGACCCCAGAGTTCTCCTTTAAATTTTCTGAGACTGAACATAAGAAAGAATCCTTGTCAGGGTCTGCAGCAGCGGTAGCAAACCTCTAGCCCTCCAGCTGTGGTGGAACTA